TTGCTTATACCAAATTTCAGAACATTGCTATGACTACTATTTCTATCTATTCCAATTTTCTCATTCAGATAAAAAAATAAACCTCCAGGTATCAGTGAAAATGTAACCTACAAGTTTGAAAACGAGCCAAACAATGCAATGTCAAATCAACTGTGTGTGATGATAACAATTCTCACAGGTGAGGATTATGAGCAAAGTGGTAAATTCTTAAACTATTTTTGTTAACTAAATACTAATATCAGTTCTTTCTAATTGTCAAAGGAATCTGTGGGCTGTCAACACATAACATAAAATGAAAGTCATCATTTGAAGGTGTGCTGCTCTCTTATAATCGAATTGAGATCATTTGAGTAACAATGCACAGAATAGCTGACAAAGTGTAGCTTACAGCAGTAGTTCTTACACATTAGCATACATTAGACCCCCAACAGGGTTTGTTAAAACACAAGAATATTTGGTTGATCCTGATAATTTTTTATTCAGTAATCTAAGACAGGACCCCCGACATTCTGTTTTCTAACAAATTTCTAGGTGTTTCTAGATGTTGTTGGTCCAGGAATCACTCACAATGAGAAGCACTGGTTTAAATAAACAAAAATCCTAGAGGTAAGTAGTTTTAATTTGGCTAACTCAATAACAAAATGGTTCCATCAATGTCTCGTGTGCTTTCTATCTTTCCTCTTTTCCATTTTCATGGCATTTCCCTTATTGCCACCCAGAAGGCTGCTGTAGCTCCATGCATCGTGCCAGTACCCAAAGGCAGACAACGTGGATGCCTTTTTATTCTCATTATCACCAAAGAAAACTTTTCTTCATAGTCCCAAACAGTCCTTTCCCCTCAGCTCCCATTAACCAGTATTTGATCAATGTCTGTGCCTAGCTTTAAGGTAGGCCAGTGAAGAAATATCTGGTATTTTGAACTTTATATTTAAAGACCGACCTTCTCAGCCTATAAGTCATAGAGATGTGTAGGAACAGCTGTTTTCCAAAAGGCTACTCCAACTTTGCCTAACAAAGCTTCCTTCATATTGAGCCCCAGGGAACATTCAGCTTTCAAAAGGTAAATAAATAAGAGTTAGGTTTAAGGTAGTCTGTGTTACGTTAGTCTATGCCCTGACAATGCTCATTATGAAAATCAGTTTCCTAGAAAAACCATAAGACATATTCATAAAAGAAAAAAAAAAATAGGAGTGTCGGTCTAATTAAATAAATGCAAATTTTGTAAATACCCCTCAAGCCTTATGAAATAAAACAGCCCTGGGGGCTAGAAATATAGCACTATGGGATACAAGTTTCATTGCTGCTATTAAGTGGCTGTGCACATTTGGTACATTGGTTCACACCTTGAAGTAGGTGTAAGAAATTTGTCTGGCAATACTTCACCATATTTAAAACGAGACTTTGGCTAAATTTAAGAGAATGGAGTGCTGCTACCAACGACTAGCTACATAATTTTAGGGTCCAGTGCAATATAAAAATGCAGGTCCTTGGTTCAAAAATTATTAAGGATTTCAAGATGGCAACAGCAGAACATTGAATTAAGCATGGGGCACGTCTTAAATCAGGGCCTTGTGCTGCTACACAAATCAGTTCTCTATGAATTGGCCTTGCTACCACTCCTTCCTTAGTTCCTCACGTGCCTTTGAAAACTCCAGGTTCTTCTCATTTTCTTATGTCTTATCTCTTTCTCATTTTGTTTGGCTCACCCCAGTAAAGGATGGCGGGGGGACCATGCTACTTTCCAATAATCTCCTCTCCAGTTATAAATCATCCCACTTTCTAGGGTGTGGATGAACCGCAGATGACTTTGGTTTAAATGACACTGTTTTGCCATCCCACTGTGTTGGATAGATAGATGAATAATAGCTGGACAGAGTGAGTGACTCAGCAGGTGGAAAGATTTTGTCAGCTTGAGATAACAGAGTATGTGTGTATAGAAGGTGAAGAGTTTGAACCTAGAATCAAAGCAAAAAAAAAAAAAAAAACTAAGAAGATTTATCTGCATTTGAAGTGTGAATATCAATGAGGGTCATCAGTTATTCTGAGAGTTACAGAGCAGACTTTTAAAAGTTAAAGCACTCCACCTCCATGTCAAGTTCAATGCAGGAGCAAATTTTATCAGTCTGGTGTGTCCTTGTAGCATCAAAGGAATGTTCGTCTGTTCCCCCTTGTAGCACCAAGAAATGGGGCACGTTTTGGCTTCGCAGGGAAGATGAAATGCTGGCCTGATGAATCACCTGCCAATTGAATCGATGTAGACTGCTAATGTAGCTAAGCCAAGCGGGAGGACCTGAAAGGGAAGGCGATGAGAGAAGAGGGATTTGGCAACTACACAAATGATGCTATTTCACTAACTCATTTTTTGCTTTAGAAAAAAAAGACATAGCAGTGAGCTATCTGAAGTGTATTTTCTCTTTCTCTCACCTCTTCCTTGAACCACATCCCTTGAAGTATCTTTTCTGTAAATTCCAATTTGCATTTCTAATGGGCTTATTAAGATGAAGTAGCTCCTATACACCACACCAGCTTTCCACTGTTTTTTTTTTGTTTGTTTGTTTGTTTTTTTGCTTTTTTTTTTGTTTTTTGATACAAAGTCTCGCTTTGTTGCCCAGGCTAGAGTGAGTGCCATGGCGTCAGCCTAGCTCACAGCAACCTCAGACTCCTGGGCTCAAGCGATCCTGCTGCCTCAGCCTCCCCAGTAGCTGGGACTACAGGCATGCACCACCATGCCCAGCTAATTTTTTCTATGTGTATTAGTTGGGCAATTGATTTCTTTCTATTTATAGTAGAGATGGGGTCTCACTCTTGCTCAGGCTGGTTTCGAACTCCTGACCTCGAGCAATCCGCCCACCTCAGCCTCTCAGAGTGTTAGGATTACAGGCGTGAGCCACCGTGCCCAGCCTCTTTCCACTCTTTTTAAAGAAGGAATGAAACCACCTTATTTTGGTGCATCTGTTACTTCGCAGTACTGATCAAACACTTATTATGCCGTCTGAATAATTATGATGTTTTTGAAGTAAATGGTGAAATTACTTAAATATTAATAACTTGTTAGAATAAAATTCCATCGTTAAAAAAAAAACAACTAGCCATTTTTCCAGCCATTTTGACTGAGTGCATGGTGAATGTTCTTTCATTTTAAATATGGCTAATTTTATCTGTTAAAGTTTCTCTGGAGGAAAGGCCCCAAATTGGCAGCAGGTGAATTAAGACAGAAGTCATCTGCCATGTAGGAAGGTCAAGTCTCCCTGGACAACCAAGGACACTAGAAAGGCTGTCAACTGCTCGATATGACCAGGGTTAACATCAGAAAACAACTATTTGGGTTTGCTTTTTCGTCCTAGGACAAGAAAACATGAAGTTTAAAAATTGCTTGTCTTTTTCTGCACAAGCTTGTGTCGATATCCTATAATTGTGGATAAATATCAATGTCACCATTTCTAAGACCTATTTTAATGTTTGAACCCTAAAATGTTCAAGGAGGAAAAATCCAGTGTCTCTTAAGAATGGCTTCAACCTTACAAATATAATATTGGAAAAAGTTTTAAGGTAGATTATGATTTAATATGTTTTTACAATAACAGAGTTTAATGCCAATAAATACTCCTTGGGATTAATGCTATGCTATATTCTGTATATGGAATTCATGAGTTGGTCTGTATCATGGAAACCCCAAAAAGGCCAATAGTTAGTCCCACATTATGTTCCCATGATACTAATACAACTTCTAAGAGATAATGGTTTGTGAATTTTTAAGACATGATTAGAAATTTTATCTAGAAAGCTAGACTGAACAAATTTTTGAGCTTAATTTTTATCCTGTAACCAATAGCATGAAAGGGAGAGAAATTGTGTTTTAGCATCTGTTCAGAGATTTTGGAAGACATCATTTAAATGGTTCTAAAGATTTACTTTTGAAGAAATGTCATTCAGGAAAACATTCATCGAACGTCTACTACATGCAACGAAATGACATTGATTGTCTAGAAATGAATAAATTAATTCCTGTCCTGAAAGAACTTATTATGATCTAGCTAGTGATAGAAACACACAAAAGAGAATGAAAAGTACACCAACTTTAAAGTCCTCTGAAGTATGTCACCTGAGAAGCGGTTCTAGACTAGGACTCAATAGAAAAAGCTTTGAAGAATAAGACAAAATCCTCTTTAGCTCCAGAACAAATATCAAAATTAGGGAAATAACAGAAAAAAAAATGCACCTACAATATTTGAAAAACAAAATTATTTGGACAAATATAAACCATAGATTAGAGAAAACCCTATTATAGTTAAAATACAATTTCATAAGGTTTAAGCTATTGACAGAAAGTCAACTAAAGAAACATGAGTTCACTAATTTACACAATGGTTTCAAAATTTACAAACCAAAAAGGGAGAAAATATATGTATATACATATACATATATACATATTATCAACATTTACATTATAAAATAATTTGGAGCCAAATTAAAAAAATCTTGGAAAAATCTTATTTACAAGTGCACTTATAAGTGCTTGCGGTTTATAATGTAAAAGCATGATCTTAAGAAAAAATCACACCCTTCAGAATCTCACAGGACTTTCTTTATACTAACCCTCTTGACTTCTCCAAAGTTTATGAAAGGGCCAATGTGTCTGCTGAGACAATTACTTGTTTCTTATTCTGTAGACTTAAATTGGATTTAATCATCACTTCATATATAACACATCCCTTTCCCCTTCATCCCTCTACCACACACACACTCTCTAAATTTAATTAAAATAACTGAAATGAAACTAGAGATAATTTGTTTTTTAAATAGACTGCCACATGCTCCATTTACATAAAACCCATTAGTTTGCATTAAATACAAATTAGCTGCTGATATGAATTAAATCACATATAAATAGTTCAGAATAGCCGCAGAACCAGGCATTTTAATTAATATAACTGTTAACCAGATTTATTTGTAAGGTAATCAAGACTCTTACTCATTTATTCTTTAGTACAATAGGCCAGGCAACACTGGCTGTCCCAGAACAGGCCATCATTTCTATATGAATACAAATCCAGGAGGAAGATTGATTAGATTCTCTGACTTCCAAGTGTGCAAATGATCAAAGCTTGCCAGTTCAGAAATTAGGGCATCTTGGATGAAGAACCTCCTCCAATAATTAACTCATATTTACACAGTTTATTGATCACCTGAAATATCCAACTTTTTTTTTTTCTTCCTTCTGTACTTAGTCATGGTTTAATTTAAAACAAGATTTCTTGCTCTTTCCGTGCTTAGCACAGCCATGGCCCATGGTCCCAAGAAGCATCTGAAGCGTGTAGCAGCTCCAAAGCATTGGATGCTGGATAAGCTGACCAGTGTGTTTGCTCCTCGTCCATCCACCGGTCCCACAAGCTGAGAGAGTGTCTCCCACTCATCATTTTCCTAAGAAACAGGCTTAAGTATGCCCTGACAGGAGATGAAGTGAAGAAGATCTGCATGCAGTGCTTCATTAAAATCGATGACAAGGTCCAAACTGATATAACCTACCCTGCTGGATTTATGGATGTCATCAGCATTGACAAGACTGGAGAGAATTTCCGTCTGATTTATGACACCAAGGGTCGCTTTGCTGGTCATCGTATCACACCTGAGGAGGCCAAGTACAAGTTGTGCAAAGTGAGAAAAATCTTTGTGGGCACAAAAGGAATCCCTCATCTGGTGACTCATGATGCTCGTACCATCCGCTATCCTGATCCACTCATCAAAGTGAATGACACCATTCAGATGGATTTGGAGACTGGCAAGATTACTGATTTCATCAAGTTTGACACTGGTAACCTGTGTATGGTGACTGGAGGTGCTAACCTGGGAAGAATTGGTGTGATCACCAACAGAGAAAGACATCCCGGGTCTTTTGATGTGGTTCACGTGAAAGATGCCAATGGCAACAGCTTTGCCACTCGCCTCTCCAACATTTTCGTTATTGGCAAAGGCAACAAACCATGGATTTCTCTTCCTCGAGGAAAAGGTATCTGTCTCACCATTGCTGAAGAGAGGGATAAGAGACTGGCAGCCAAACAGAGCAGTGGGTGAAATGGTCTCCATGTAACATAATAACATGTTAAAAAGTTATTTGTATGGCCGGGCGCTGTGGCTCACGCCTGTAATCCTAGCTCTTGGGAGGCCGAGGCGGGCGGATTGCTCAAGGTCAGGAGTTCGAAACCAGCCTGAGCAAGAGCGAGACCCCGTCTCTACTATAAACAGAAAGAAATTAATTGGCCAACTGATATATATATATAAAAAATTAGCCGGGCATGGTGGCGCATGCCTGTAGTCCCAGCTACTCGGGAGGCTGAGGCAGAAGGATCACTCGAGCCCAGGAGTTTGAGGTTGCTGTGAGCTAGGCTGACGCCACGGCACTCACTCTAGCCTGGACAACAAAGTGAGACTCTGTCTCAAAAAAAAAAAAAAAAAAAAGTTATTTGTACTTAAAAAAAAAAAAACAAGATTTCTTAAAAAAGTGTGAAATAATTTTTCTTTGTTGCCGTTCTTATTTTGACTATTTCACGCGTCACTAATAAGTATTTCACAGTTAATAATGACTCTCCAGACTAATTAGAATTTAGGGTTTAGCAACAGTTTGTGAGTCCAGACTCATTTTGCTCAGGTAACTGAAGCTCAGTGGCTTGATAGACATAGATTCACAGACATAGGTGCACAGAAATGACAATAGATACTCTGACTTCAGGCACACCTGGATCCACGGCTCTAATTAGATCACCAGAATGACTGTGGCTCTTCCCATGCATGCCTAAGGACCGCTTTCCTCTATGGCTCTTATTCTCTGGCAGCTTCTGTTGTCATGGTGGAAAGATGGCTGCCCACTAGCTTCAGGCTCAACACACTCTCTCAGCAACCCCAGCTCTTTCCTAGTCATTCCAATGAATACCCACAAAATGAGTCATATTTGCCTGGTCATATATGTCTCTGCCCATGACAATTACTACAGAAAAGATAAGGGAATGCTCTGAATGGTTATGAGTACATGCTCACCCTGAACCCAGGAAAAGAGCCAGCCCCATCGGAATCCCAGGAATTAAGAGTAAGGGGTGGAATGTTTTGATAAAATAGAATGTTGATTGTTTTCCAAGGTAAAGAGTGAGGGAGAGAGAGTGGCATGGTCAAGCACAAAAGGAACAACTATCCATTATCGTATTGTAATCCTTGCTTTGATGCTAAACTGCCAGCCTTCTTCAGTCACCTCATTTAAGCACTGATTTATCAATCAGTAAAAAAAAAATCAAAGGTACACAATCAATATTCACCTGCAAGAATCCCTGATGCAAGCAACCACAGGACTTGTAAATGGCAGCCATAGATATTCAGCAAATAACGTACCCTTATAGAAAAGCCTTCATAAGCCCTAAATCATGCTGTTGGATGTACAATGTTAAAATATGAATGCTACATTATGTGTGCATTCTGACTGAAAGTTAGAGAGGATTAATGAGACAGGTTTAATTGACTGTAACAAAAAGTCCCGGGCATTTGTAAAAGAAAAATACTTCTTAAGTCATAATATTAAAAATTTGACATAAAAAAAGGAGCATCTCATTTTAGCTGATAAACCTATAGAATCGATTATATATTCTGCCCATTTCAGCAACAATATTTCATTCTATTGTATACTATTCCTCACAGAATTAAGTTTTACATAATGTGTGATAAATATTGAGACATCAAAGAACATGCATGGTTAACCTTTTATGTATCATGAACGTCTTGGTTAATTTGATGGTGCCTATGGATAGCATAGGACCCTTCTAAAAAAATTTTAAATTCTAAAGGGAATAAATTTTTTAGAATATAAAGGAAACCAATTATAAGGCAATAAAATTGTCCAAAAATTTTTTGAAATTGTAATATGATGATATATGTGTTTCCGTAATCACACATTAAATAAAAACCAATTCCACTAGAGTACAAGAGCTGATATTTTCAGATTCCATAATTCTAATATGATATGAAAATATCTATTCCAACTGGGTAAAATGTCACAAGAACTACTAATACTACTGTGGTTTGTGGCCTATATTCACAATTGAAGGAAATGTAAATTTCAGTTCAAGGTTACTGAAAATAAAGATGTAAATTCTCCCATCCTTATACATGGACTTCTGCCAAAGGACATTTGGTCATGACTTGAGGGGGAGAAAAAAAAAACCTGCAAATCATTGTAATAAGGCATGCTATCCATCAGCTTTTGGACCTTATTGCAATTTTCTTATTCATCTCTGGTTGATTCCCTGCCATATTTTCGCAGGAGCAATTCCAAACTTTATTACCCATTTCTACCCCACTCTTTTCTCTGTGTGGTTAACGTTGCCTCCTACATAACTTGAAGAATGAATGCCACCTGTCATTAGTTTCCTTCATCTGTACCCTAAAAAGTTTTTGAATATTCATCATCTTACCATTTTTCTTACAGATTGCAAGAAACCTATACCTGCCAGTTATTTAGCACTTAATGAGAGAAACCAAGGAACATAAAGAAAACAAGAAATCATCATAGCAGTCCCACAGCGAGGCTTCACAAGGAAAGAAAGATGCTATTCAGGATCAGATCAGAGCTCTTCCTTGAAATCCTGGCTGAGTATGTGGAGCCTCACATTGTCTCACGAGAGATAATAAGGGTCTTGCCTGGGTGTGGATTTATTTCAAGATAAAAGATGAGAAATGTGACATAATCCAACTATGTTAGACACAATACAGGATGAAAAGGAGAGGAGCATTTGGATGATGTACAGTGGGAAACATCTACCTCCCAGCATGCTGCTGCTTTTAGGTGGTGCCACCATATAGCACCGTAAATCCCAGGAGTATGTTTTCCTATTTGATATTGTCCATGAAGACCACTGTCCCCATGACCAAGAAGTGTATTTTTGTCTTTCTTATTCTTTTAACGGAGTATTGATTTTATCATAAAAGAGAATGGATTTGCTTTATGACTATTTTTGCTGAGATATATGTACTACCCAGGCAAAAAGCCTATGGACCTTTGGGGCCTTTCTTTCCCCCATATAAAAAAGGAACTGAATGAGATGATCCCATGTTCAGAATTATGATTATCACATGACCACTTAGGTCCTTTGTTACTTTAGTTCTCTGGTTGTAAAGGCAGGGACACTTAAGAAATCCCATCAATTTGTCAAAATTCTTGCCAAAGATTACTTTTTTAAATAAGGCAATTACCTTATTTAATATTAATGATAGAGAAAACTGAACCCATTTTCCCGTGTGATTTAGCTTCTATTCAAAGATCTGTTTCTCTATGTGTTTGGCCCTACTGTGATAGAAAAACTATATGAGGTCTATACTGTCCATCTTTAGAAACTTCTTCATTAAAGTTGCCATCACCTGCTTAGTTGATGGACGCTTAGCCCCTTGGGAAACAAGCATTCATTGCTCTCTACTAGAGTCAGCTATTTTTTGTCTTTGCTTCTGCGGCTCCTGTCTCCATCCAATAACCTTAGTCTAACCTTTTCTCTCAATTATCCCAGCTCTCCTTGAGGTGGGAGCTCTACCACCTCCCAAATTGTACTGTCTTTTGCCTCTTAACCACAGGCCATGGCTTCAGCATACTGCCTACCTTCTTTGAATGTGACTCTCAACTCCTGTACAACTCTGCCATTGTGAGCTGTTGTCTCTGTCTTTGTATCTCACATTCAAACACTCCCAAGGGAAATGGTGTGTTGGGTCAGTCAATCACACTCAGTGTAGGGAATGCTTGCTTGATAGAACTCTAGGGCTAGCATAGCTCATGATCTTATGTATAGGATGGTTTATAGTCAACTTGCTGATCCAATTACATCAGCTGCTAGCACGAATGGGTAAAGTGGTACAAAGCATGACAACCAAAGTAAAGAAGCACCAGCAATGGCTAATGGATGAGACAAGTACTGGATATGTAGATTTTCCTACTATTTCAGGTGACAAAGTATGCTCATCCTCTCCAAGGCTCGCAGTTGTTCATGACCACATTTAAGGAGCTTGTGTCTTCCCAAGCATTTGTTTTCTATTGAAATTAGAAAGATTCATTTTCCAAATTAGTTCCTTACATGGCCCCTTCTGGGAACTTGCATCACTTGTTCTGTTATTTTAACCTTAGTTCTTTCAAAAAAAAAAAAGTATATATATATATACATATATATATATATGCTTTGGAAAATAATTAGAGTAATTATTAAACTGCCATTTTGTTTTCATTGTTTATTTATTTCTGTTTGCTTTTCATTTCAGAACAATTACTTTTATCTCTCATTTAAGTTACTTAAATTATTTAGAATATTTAGACATTTCACTGTGGTGCTGTGCTGCTCTGTGTTTAGACCACATGAAAAGACTGAAACTTAATAGAACCAGAGATTATCTCTTTCTTATGCATCATTTTGATCTCCAGTATCTCATATCATGTCTGATACATGGAAAATGCACCATAAATATTCCATGAATGAAAATAAACCTAAGCAAAATGAATTAGGATGAAAGTCTGATGACAGAAAAGCAACAAAGCCAAACACAAATAACTCGTCTACAGTTTGGGATTATCCACATAAGCAGGTTCTGTTCACTGAGTTACATGTTTTCTATCAGAGATAGACTTGCACATTCACCTATGCATATATGTGTATGTTTGCATATATTTCAGTGCATATGTCATCAGTCCTTGCAGGTATACTTTTCCTATCTCTACTTTCTATGCAAAGTACATTATAAATATACTTGGTGTAAAACAGAAGCATTCTTTCTTAACTAGCTAAAATAAATTCCACCTATGGGTAGAATTAATTATTTTTTAGATTATAAATGAAGAAAATGTAATTATATATAAGTGTGTGTACATGTATGCATATATCTGCATATGTAAAAAAAGAAAAAAATTGGAAATATTAAAGAAAATGAACATATAATAAGATTGATCAAGGAAAATAAATTACTTTCTTTTTTCTGGCATTTATATGTAATGCTAGAGCAACATGTTTTCTACTGTGTATAAACATTAGGTGGCAGGGAACTATATCAGTAAAGAAATAGATACAGGAGGCAGTGACTAGAAACTCAATCCCTTCACA